GTTTGATATTAACATAATGTCATCAATGTAATGTATCACCATACTTGAAATCTGTACCAAGTCCAAGTCTCTCCTAACCAAGCCATGACAGTAAGCTGATGAGTTCAAATAACCCTGTGGCAAAACTCTGAAGGTGTACTGAGAGCCTTCCCATGTGAAAGCAAACTGTGACTGACTCTTTTCCAAGATTGGTATAGAGGAAAAGGCATTTGCAAGATCAATCACTGAGTACCAGTCTCCTTTGGCCTGTTGTATTTTCTGCACCACCGATACCATGTCTGGAACAGCTGAAGCCACAGGTGGCACTACTTTATTTAGGCCTTGGTAGTCTACTGTCAGTCTCCATGAGCCATCTGCCTTTCTCACAGGCCATATAGAGTTGTTATACAGAAAATTTGTTGGCACCAACACTCCAGCCTTCAACATGTCTTTAATCAAAGCACTGATTTCCTTCTGTCCACCAGGTATCCTATATTGTTTCAAGTTAACAACCTGAGTGGGCTTGGGCAATTCCAATGGTTCCCATTTAGCATGTCCAATCAATACTGGCCTAAGGGCACACTTACACGCCTTCAGTTTTACAATATCAGGTAGAGGGAGATGTTTCCAATTAGACATAATATCCATACCAATAATACATTCAGGTAAAGGAGACGCAACTACTTCATACAACATCTGTTTAAATCTTCCAATTCTCATCCAAACTTTCACTTTAGTCCCATCAACTGTTGCATCCCCATATCCCCCTGGTCTAACCTTAGGCCCCTTCAACATTTCATTGACAGGCTTTGGGATGACGGTACATTGGGCTCTGGTGTCCAGGAGTCCCAAGAAGGTCTCTTCCCCACCCCCAGGCCATTTTACCCATACATTTACATATGGCCTCAGGTCCCCTGCTGGGGGCTGGACTAGAAGACCCTGGTCCCCATGTCAGTCTCTGGCTTCATCAGTTAGCTGAGTCTCTGCTTCAACTAGTCCCAGGTGAGAGTTCCTATTATTAAATTCCTCCTGAGTGGAGTGAATAGAACGAACTTGTCTAGGCCTCCTTAAGGTGGAAGGACCAGAAGGAGTTTCCATTGGTCCACCCAACCTCCTGTAGTGCTGCATCAGCACCCTTGTCTCTACTCCATCAATGTCTGCTAT